AACCAGTGTGATCCACGCCCCCCTTCCTGTCAGAATCCCACGCCATTGCTCACTTTTCCTCATTCTCTGTGGGTCTTCTTTTCTCCCCTTCCTTCTTCAGTCAGAGGGAACTGAGGCACCACATAAATAGATGCCTTTCCCAAGGAAAATAGATTTTTGGCTCTGACCAGGAAATCCATTTTTCAGCGTGAATAACACAACTCTCCATCATTTTACCTTTGTCAATTTTTAAGCAATAGCTTAAGCAGCAGTAGGTTGTTTGGGGCAGCCAGGAAAATGAGCTCTGGCCCTTGTGCTCCAGACTAAAGGCAATCAGACAGCAGGCCCAAAGGCAGAGCATAAACTCTCCACTTCTGATGTTTTTCCTTTCCACTTGGTTTCCATGGGACCCTGTGTTGGGGGCGGGGAGGGCTTCCAAAAGTACCAATGCATATTCTTCAGCAAAATAAGGAGCCAAATTTCAGGATGGCCAAAAAAAAGAGAACATTATAGAAACGGGTGAGGGACCAGCACCAAAGAATTTTGTATGCCTAACATTTACAGAAGCCTCACTCCAAGGCTGATTTTGCAAGTTCCTTGTTGTCTGCCATTTCTACCTAAGTGCCGTTCATAATAAGTATCAAAATCCAGAAGAGGCTGTAACTTTAGGATTTGGAAGTGTTTTCCATCTAGCTCACAACCTGGAATTGCAATGTCCTATTTTGGGGGCCGAGACTGAGAAACTCCTCTTCTTCTTTAGGGTTTTTTGTTTGTTCATCTTTTGGTTTTTGCTTTGTTTTGGTTTGAAATTTTATACTGGCCTGTAATATTTTATGTGCTCTCCTCCGGGTCTTAAACAGTCCTGTGCCTCAGCAAGCCAGCAGGCTGCTCTGAGTCATCCATGTTTTCTGGGATTTGACACTGTGACCTATGATTGAAATTCACTAAAAGGAAACAACCACGAGCTAGAAACAGTCACAGCAAGTGGGAACTCCTAAGGTCCTCTGCTTTGTTGAGCAGCGGAGTCTGACAGACTAAACAAAGTTGGGGAAAAGGCACAATTTGTCTTTGCCATCACACCTTCCCTTTTAAGCTCAGATTTTCCCCCATTTTGGCACCAGCCTGAGACACCATCTTATGTCTCGTCTTTGCAGGATCTGTTAGCTAATGGTCAACAGATCATGGAGTTTGTCTTTGCTGGCTCCAAGACAGTGATGCCTTCAAGAGTATTTGCATAAAAGCTTCTTGGAGTTGGAATCTCTAAGGGCGGGCTATGAAGCATAGTGATACGTAGTAGGAGAAGATGGTGTTGAATTTCTTGTGTGTGTGTGTGTGTGTGTGTGAATTTCTAAAATCACACTATACAGGGGATGCACCCACCGAGGAGTGCAGTGGCGGAGGAAGGAAGAGCCATCAATGCACTTACCCCATCATGTCACAATGTGCTATGTCAGAAGGAAGAACAGTAAGCATGTAGGACATTCATTTATTCATTCAAAAGAATTTGAGTTCCTCCCATGTGCCAGGTACCATCCAGGTGCTAGAATTACTGCAGCAAACAAAACTCACAAAAATCCCTGCCCCACGGAGTGCACACATTCTAGAAATAATACTAGAAATAGTAAAACAAAATTCGTGATTCTTTTTTTCTGTGGTATTGTAAAGAAAATGCAAGGTTTGGGACAAGATAGACAGTGATGAGAGTCATTATGCTTTCCCTAGCAAAACGGATCTAAGAGCAGTACTGACTTCCTCTAAAAAGCCAGACCATTTTTACCCCTTTATAACATTTCTTTAACTGAGCCTCAGTTTCTTCCTCTGTAAAATGCTATTTGACCAGGGATCATGGAGAAGTTTACCTGACATAATAGGTAAGGAAGCACTTGATACAGTGATTAGTGTAAAGTATATAAGAAATTCATTTTATTCTCCCCAAAGGCCATTCCTATTGAGTGGCAGAACCTCGCATATGAATCGAGTTGCCCTTTTGATCCACTCTCCTCCTCTGTCCCTTCCTTCTGGGATCTTCTTCCACTTCTGCTCTATGTGGCAAATGCTGCTCGTCTCTCGAAATCCTTCCCAGTCTCCCCGACAGAGCTGACCCTCCTCCTCCCTGTTTCCCGGCACTGGACACATGCCTGCCTTACGGCAAATAGTAGCTTTCGTTGTTACTGTTCACGTTTTTTTCCTCCTTCACTGGACTTTCAATTCTTTAAGGGCAAGGATCAAAGCTTTAATCTTGTTCAAGTTTATAGCTCGGTCACATGCCAACCACAGTGCCTAAGAGAAATAAATATTGGTGGAGAGAACAAATAAATAGATGATTATCTCATTAGCTTTCAGTCTCTCTTGTGCTCCAACGGCTCTAACTCCTTCTAATGGGGGCCAGAGCTTGCCGTATGAGAAAGCTGTTTTCTAAATCCTGAGAGGTGAAGACAACTCTTCAGTAGGCTTCCAGGCCCTACTTTGCCTCTCTGCCTTCAGACGATGGGCATCATCAGCCACCGCACCTTGGCCTCCCTGAGCAGACATGGGGGACACTAGCTGCCAGAATTATAGCCCTCACATATTAATGTCCACTCACCTGAGCCCCCCACCATCAGAGAACTCCAATTCCAGAATGCTTTCTCCATCGTCCCTGGAGGAAAGCTGATCCCGGGTTCCCGATGGTACGCCCACAGCACTGCAAGACCCCAAGCGCGTCTTAAATCACCGAAAGTATTAAGTGCTTCCAGTGTAACTTTCTGTCTCATAACATGCACTTCAGTGAATTTTAAGTCTTGGAAAATTGGTGACTCCTATATGCTTGTGATACAGCGCTGGCCCCACATGTCAAGATCCTCTGGAAAGTGATAGCAAACTACCTTCCTGGGCTTATCTCCTCTGTGCACCCCATGTCCTTTCTGTTCCCACTACCCAGGCCCCTCTGCACCTCAGGGAAGATGCAGCGGGGTTTTCAGTAGATTCTAAGTTCTTCCGGGACCGACTGCTGTAACAGTGCCGTGGGCGCTGAGAAGCCTCAGCACGGCTGTTCCACCCAGCTGTCAATTCGGACTGTCGGCTCTAAAAGAAAGCAGAGCCTGGGAGAGAAGAGGCCGTGAACCCAACTCCTTCACTGCAACTTTTCGAACAGCCCTCTCCCAGCCCCCTATCCCTGCCCCTGCCTTCTCATCACCTCCTCTGTGGGAGGCAATTTGGGGGATCCCCCAGGCAGGTTCCCAGGTGGTCTCCGTGGAGCTCTCCTCATCCCCCACTCTGTTCCAGAGAGATTCGCTCCCTCTACCCTCTGTTGCTGTTTCATTGGCAATGAAAAGCACACATTGTCAGAATTGGGCACAGACCAGGGGTGGGGGGTAAGGTATGGCGTGAGTCCCTTGGCTCCTGGTGGGCTCTGCTGGATGAAAAGTGTCCCCGGGTTAATGTGTCTCATGCAGCAGAACTCCTCTTTCTGAGTCTCGCACAAACCCATTCCCAGGCCGACCCGGTTCTGGAGTGTGCAGGGCAGATGTGGAGACAAAACCGAGACGCCCATTTGCTTCTGATTGGAAAAGGGTGGGGCGTCTTGTGTGCCTCACCATTCAGACATTCTTCATGGTGCTATTTTTATCAACGGTAATCATTAAATTGGTGTCAGATGGGCTGGTCCAGTTCCTCACCCTGAGGCCTGGTGATGAGACTCAGCGGGTTTTTTCCAGGCAAGAGGAGATGTGGTATGTGGCCCATATGAATGCATCTCCGGAACCTGGGGCCTCACAGGCGAACCCCTCTCGCCCTGGATCATGTTCGTGTGGCAGTTAGAGCAAGGCTCATTGTCACTCCTGGTTCGTTTCTGACCTGATTCATTTAACACACATCTGTTGAGCACCTTCTAAATGCCAGACATTGAACAAGACACTAGGGATTCACAAAAATGTAATCTCTACCTCCTAGAAACATGCCTGTCACCAGAAAGGATTGTCATGTGAAGTGACAGTGTCTACTGGGCTGTGCGTGTTACAGATGCATTGATAGAGGATCATTGACTGCGGAGGGAGGATTCGTGCTGCCTGGGCCTCAGGGAAAGCTTCTCGGGGTTGGTGACACTCAGCCAGGGCTTCAAAGTTAAGTAGAATTAATTGGATGAAAACATGGGGAAAAGGAACCAACGCTTTTAAAAGAGGCATAAAAAAACAACTCCATAGATTCATCCAAAATCCGGTTGTGAATTCAGCTGTTGCCTAGGGAGTCCCAGGCACACACTTGCATTGAGCCTCGCTCTGGGAGGCCGGGAGGAAGAGGGCTGCGGTACAGGAATACCACCTGCTCACTCTGCCGTCCCTGGCCGTTCTGACCCTGGGTTCCAGAATTTGGCCCCCGAGCAGGGCCCAGCAGTGAGGCTTGGCACATAGTGATGATAGTGACCCAGGATGTTGGATTTAGACGTGAACTAGGAGCTGCCATCATAACCTGCTCATGGATCTTTCGATGGAGAACCTAACCTCGGAGTAAGCACCGAGGCCCCTCCCTAGACACAGGAAACAAGGATGAGTCGTTATATGGAGACTAAGAGTAGAATTTTCTAGGTTCTGTATCTTTCAGCCTGGATTGTACCTCTTTTAACTAAATGCCTGGAAATCCAGCATGAAATTTAACAGAAAACCAAAACGGGGCATAACAGGAAAATGGGGAGAGCTGTAGAACTGAATGATGGCAGAAAGTGCATTTGCAGATGTCCTCGGCAGTCCGGGGCCTGGGGCTCTGGTTCTCATTTGCTCCGACTAGACATTCCAAACTCCACCCCCCCACACAGGTCACATGCCTGCACAGCCCCGGCCCTGCAGGGTGCAGGGTGTCGCTGGAAGGGCCTCCTCGCTGGGTCGGTGGCCAGCTGGAAGAGCCCGGGGCCACCTTGTCTGGTCAGGAGCCTCTCGGCTGTGAGCCTCTTGGAGCCAGGGCTGGCTTTGTGGTCCGCCTAAAGTGACAGTGAAATTAATGGGATCCTGATGCTGTGACTGAGGCCATTTCCCCATGTCTCCAAACAGGGATGAGAGAAGACATGTCATTAGGACGACAAGAGGCTTTTGAAATCTTCAAGAGGGACCACGCTGACAGCATCACCATCGAAGACAACAAACAGATTTTGAAGCAAAGGTAAGGCTGGTTCACAGGGCCACTGGTTCCCCGACGCCTAGCCGGGCCAGTCTCAAGGAAACTCGCTACTCCGTTGTCCCTAATCTGCTTGACCTAACTTCTAAAAGAAAGGCCCGATGTGTATTTAGTTTCACAGTGAATTATGTCCAGCCCGGTAGGACTTTCCTACGTGGGAACCTCCTCATCCCAGCGCTGCTGGGGTCCGCAACGTCAGGGCGGGGTCTGTCACTGACAGCACCAACTTTGTCCCCAGTTCTCATCTGTTACACTAATTCCTGTCTGCCTGTGACTCTATCCATATCACACTGTTCCAGGGGCCAGGGAAAAAAGTCTGTAGATCAAATTGTCATCTTAGAACTCAGGCTGCTGCAGCCCACGCTTCCCACTCAAAGAGAGTATACGTGCCCTCAGCTTGTGACCCAGAGGCCTCTGGTGTGTTCTCCAGTCGGAAGCAGAGCGGGCAGCAGCGTCTGCTGACATATTGTCAAGCTGGCCTCTGAACCCTTTAGGAAGAAAACTTCGTTTCAGCTCATCTGCGGTTTAGATGCATAGCCACAAACTGTGGCAAACAGAAAGACTGCCAGGTGCATGAGTCTAGAGTTCAGAAGAGAGAGTTCTAGTCTGTGAACTCTTATACTGAGTCACACGTGACTCTGGATCTTAGCACACACACAAACAAGCATTTGGAAATTTTCAAAACCAATTCGTTGAATTAAAATGAGATCCAGGTTTGAGAGTCATATGCTTCTAAACGCTTCAAGGAAGCTTAAGGAGTGGCTGAGCTCAGGAAAACAGGTGGAGACACAAGGGTCTAGAGGGTAGAACCAGGGGGAAGCCCTGAAGGGCAGGGAGGGAGAGGAGGCTGTGAGGGAGGCTGAGAAAAAGCAGAGAGAGAAGCAGGGGAGACCCAGGAGAACATATTATCTTGAAAACCAAGAGGGGAGGCGGCTCCAAGAAGCATGTTGTGAGCGGTGTCTGACACTAGAAAGAAAGAAGCAGGGGAGACTGGACCGAGCACACCGAGTGAGCGGGCGACTGCAGACCACAGGTCGGAGGGCTGGGAGTGAGGGAGCACATGAGAAGGAGCTGAGCAAAGGGAGCATGTATTCAAAAAGTCTGTGATAGATGACAAACATTCGAAGGAGGGAAAACGGAGGCCTAAGGAGAAGGGAGATTTGTTTCAGATGGGAAAGAAGTAGCCAACATTGCAGGCCATGGAAGCAAACCCATGGAGAGAGAGGCATACAGACAGACAGACCAGGGGAAGAACTGATGCAGCAAGGCCTCAGGGAGAAGGTCTGGGGAGGGAGGGCATCAGAGATCCCGGTGAGGTGATCCTGGAGAGAAAAATGAGGCAAGACACTGCCTCCGATGCCCTTGGCAGTGAAGGGAGGAAGGTAAGACGGCCTCTATTTTGTCTGTGGAAGTTGAAGTGGAGTAAGAGTTGGGAGGTAGCAGACGTGGTAGCAGAGGTTTCATACAGATGTCACAGGGAACAGGAAAGAAGGCAGAGCTGGCAAAAGAAAAGGAAAGGCAAGCAGCACTGAGGGCCCAGCCTGACTGGCTTTCTCGCTGTGGTGGCGTGTGAGTGGGGGTCTCAGATCACTTTGGGAATCCTGCGATGGTGGGAGGGGTGTAGCCAGGAGCAGTCATTCGGGCGCCATGCTGCCCCCCTTAGTCGGAAGAAGTACATGTGGCCCCCGCAGCCCAGTGGTTCCGCTTCTGGGTCTGTCTCCCAGGAAGCTCTCGAGTGGGCTCTGAAGGGGAAGTGGGAGAGGATGTTTGCAGCAGCTCAGTTTGTGGCAGAGGAGAGCTGGAAGCCTGGGTGTCCATCACCAAGGAAGCAGAGAGGTAAAATCTTGGGGAAGCTAACCATGAAGTCAGGAGCAATGGATGAATGTACACACACCAGCACGGACAGCACTAAGAACACAATTCAGGGAAATTATAAAGAGATGCACACAAAACAAACAAAAATAGCCAAACATAAAGATAGATTATCACATACTTTAACCATAAGGATGGTTACCTGTGTGAGGGAGAAGAATGAGAGCAGGACAGGGGGGTGTGAATGAATAAATGAATAAAACAAGGGCTAGAGGAGAAAATAAAGTGCCTCTAGTGAAAGCTGAGGACCCTCCCCCTGGACAAATGGACATATGTGCATCCACACAAATTTTAGCAAGTGAATCCTGGGGTTTCTCAAACCTTCTAATGCATATTCACAGTAAGCCATGAGTTTCTGGGATAGTCAGCTGGATGTGTTAGAGCAGAACATCTGTCTGTCTGAAGATAAGCATGTCACACTTGCTGCCTCATCCAATACGAACTTCTAAGGGGCCCTCAGCCTTCTCACCCAAGGCTTCAGAGCTTCCACCAGGGCCTGACAACTCCGGCTTCATATTAAAATGACCCATGGAGCTTGTACAACCTTCCGACACTGGGCCTGACCCCTCAAATACTCTAATTTAATTAGGTAGGAGCTAAGCATCCATTTGTTTAAAGATTCCAACATGAAACCAGGTTTGAAAACCACTGGCTAAACAGTGTCCAGAGTCTCTGAGATCCAGAACCTCTGAGGTAGGATCCCCAAACTCTACAGGCTAAACCAATTACCAAGGGATTCTTTTGTGCACATGAGTTTAAGAACCACTAGCTTAGGAAGAATTCTATTTTTTTAAGAGTTTATTTATTTAATTCGAGAGAGAGAGAGAGAACATGAGTAGGGGAGGGGGACAGAGAGAGAGGGAGAAGCAGACTCCCCGCTGAGCAGGGAACCTGACCTGGGGCTCGATTCCCGGATCCCAGGATCATGACCTGAGCCAAAGGCAGACGCTTAACCGACTGAGCCACCCAGGTGCCCCAAGAATTACTCTGGAATTGGTATGGTTCCTGGTTCTGGTTTATACTCGAGTTTAGGTCTGTTTCCAGTGGGAGGGTGGGTTGGGATGGCAGGGCTGAAGATGTGGTCTTTCAAAGCCTCTTAATACAAAGCTCACTTAACTCTAGTACAGTAGGGTTCTGACGGCCCCGTGATAAATGTGCTTTTGGGCTGAAACACATCCAATCACATAGGATGGGCTGGTAATACTGGTGGTCCCATCTTGCCTGTGGCCATAGAGCAAGGGAATTAATGAAACTTGCACAAAGCTTTCCTCTGAAAAGGGCTTTTCCCAGCAGTAAATCAATCTTTTTAAATCAAATGAAAAGTCGAGAGACCAGCCCACATTTTTAAAAAAATGTCTACATCTGTTTAATGTTACTGTAATAACAATCATTAAAGGAATATTTGGTACTGGGGAGTGTAACCCAGGATCTACCCCTTTCTCGGGGTTGGAGCTTTTGTTTGCATTCATGGAGAGTATTCAATTACTAGGTATTACATGCTCATAACTCCTTGAGGCAGAAGACTAAGAGAAAATGTTTTTCTGTGAAAACAAATAACTAAAGCACTGCTCCTACAGCAGACATCAAAATAGGGCCCCACAGGTGCCAGTGGGGGCGACTTCCACGCTGCCCTTACCTCAAGAAGCAGTCTGCAGTAACCCCGATCCCCTCCAAGCATTTGCTGCCTGTCCCCCTGGTGACCGGAAGCACCATGTGGCCCATCTGCAGAAGGGCTGGCCGGTCCTAGGAATGCAGACATGAACCTCAGGATTTTAGTCAGGATGGCACTAAACGCCTGTTCCTCACTCAGCTCCCAGGAGACAACTTCCTCTGAGAAAGTCTCACCCTCTGGAAGCCCCCAGCAATGAGGCCCCAGTGTCCTGGCCCGCCATTCATTCCCAACTTTTCACATCATATCACTCTACCATCTGCGTTTCCAGTGTTGGGACATCATGTTGGCAAAGTTCACAAAAGAGGGGCTTGGGACTCACAGGAGCCTGGGGGCAGCTCAGCCTCTCTAGCCCATGGCAAGGAGGTTCTAAGCCCAAATGAAGGAACCATCGATGGCTCCAGATCCCTCCTGACCACTCAGTTCCCCCAGAGTACAAGAGTTGACCTGGAGCCGTAGGACAGAGGTGTCCATCAGTGGCTCACATGTGCACATCCGAAAAAAAGATTTTCTTCCCCATCTTACCTGGACCCTTTGCTGTCCTCCCAGGCAATTCTAGCATCTCTCAGCACTAGCCCCCAGTCTGGAGGAGATTTGCTACCTGTCTGTGACAAGAAAAACAAGACGTTGGCACATTAATAGGGTGTTTACCCTTTGCTGAACTAGAGCACGTAAGCCAATTCTTAAGCTGGATTTTTATAGTGGAAGACAACTACAATTCAAAATCTACATTCAAATCAGGGATGACTCAGCCTTGTAGTATATAATAATATGAAGAGAGGCTGGAGACCCCATGTTTGGCAAAGACCAGTGCCCAGGTACCACACAGCTAACTTTCTTCTGTGGCAGGTCTTTGATACAAAGGGAGTCCCTCTGTCACAGAGTTCCATTAAATAACCAAAGAATAAATAAATAGATTAACTGCAGTTGGAAACAAAGGCAATGATAATGAGAACTCAATCAAGAAAAGCGCCCCCTCGGGCACCTGGGTGGCTCAGTTGGTTAAGCGACTGCCTTCAGCTCAGGTCATGATCCTGGAGTCCCGGGATCAAGTCCCACATCAGGCTCCCTGCTCAGCGGGGAGTCTGCTTCTCCCTCTGACCTTTCTCTCTCTCTCATTCCCTCTCTCAAATAAATAAATAAAATCTTTAAAAGAAAAGAAAAGCGCCCCTTCACTCGGTTGGATCCTTCAGACACAGAATAGAACGGCAATCTAAAACCAACAGGAAAACTGGACCGAGGCTGGAGAACAATCTCGTGGCACCATCTGGAAATAACATCCATGACAAATAGGAGTTCCCTGGTTCCTATTAGACTCCAATTTTAACCTTTATTATTTTTCCATTTGTTTTCTGTATTTACACCTTGTTCCCTGAACTAGAATTATGAACTCTGAGAGTTGAGATTAGATTAGTATCTTCCCAGCCTCCCCACAGTTTTTAAC